TAATATATATAAACAAAACATTATGGACCGCAATAACAGACTTGGTCCGCTTGCCCTCTAGGACCGGCTCTGGTGGTATTAGAGGTGGTCGTAGCTAAATCTATCATTGAAAATGTCTACTTAACTGTATTAAAGAAAAAACTGTACCAAAGAGGAATTTTTTTTAGCGAATTCCTGTAATCAAACTTTGTATGGTGTGTAATCGTTTTCGGAAAACTACATAACTATATGTCATGATTGTAATCGGTTTCAATATAAAATATTTAGTTGAAAGGAATAAAACAGTATTTTTGAATGGACAATACGAGATCCCCTTTTGGAAACTGCTTTCTACATTGTATGGGAAAAAAAAACAAATTTGTGTAGCATAGTACACAAGTGAGTTTACAATTTCGAATTTACCAATAAATTTACTGTCATAATTGATTTACAGTGTTAATTTGTATTCTGTTCTAAAGTGAGATGTACGTACTATTTGAATAAATTTGTTAAACTACCAAATATATTGTTTAATCAATTGAAAGAATGAACTGTACTGATAGCAATGACTAATGCATATGGACCTTTTTCATTATTGGATCACATAGTGATTCAGTATAGTAACTATACATGTCTTTAAGTTAAAAAAAAAACTATAAATGTCTTCCAACAAATTTTAATACGGCATGCAGTCCCTTGATAATACAGAGTAATCTTTGGCAATAAATTATACAAGCTTCAGATCGAATGCTTCTTTATATGTCAGATAGAAGCTTCTATGAAAATATGCCTCATCCTTTGATATATACATAAGAGTACGCATATATAACGTGACGTTAAAAGGAGTCATATCATGTAAATTAATCATGCAGTTTCAAAAATAAATGTATAGATGACACACCATGTGCAAGGTCTATCAAAGTTCAAAAACCATTATTTGCGATATTTTGATTTGTCTTTTTTTATGTGTGTTTATAATGCTAAATTAGGATTCACATTGATATGCAGATAGATATATTAAAATTTATTAATATTAAAATATAAATTTTTATTAGTAACCCATTAAATTATAAAAATATTTTGAAATAACTAAACATGGATCTTAAACAATTAAAGTTTCATTTATACCTTAATTCTTATATCATAATTCATATTATGCATACCCAAAAATATACTATATACATAAACAGAATTCAAATCATATTCACAAATCACACCCAATTAACAAAAAATATGTTTACACTGTGAATTTATATTAACTATATGATAAAATCTTATAAC